CGGAATAAAAATGGCACGAGGTGGACCCCCCACTTGCTGATTGTGTTAAGATTAACATTGATGCTACACTATCTCTGCAACAGCAAATATCTAGATTTTTTTTTTTTGGGTACAAAACAGATATTTTGTACCAAAAAAAAAAATCTAGTATGGGAGCAGTAACTTATTACTATAACACATCTCCCTAGTCACTTTTAGTCCTAAAAGAGTTCGGAAACAAAATTTATAATAAAAAATTACAGCGAAATAAAGACACTTTTGAAAAGAGAAGATCATAAATAGCTGTAAAGGAAAACCACTTTAACAAGTCAATATATATATATTGAAAAAATGCCAAAATATTCAAAGTTATAAAATAAGATGAGCTAAACTCATTTATAATTAATTTAAAGATTTTATACATAAAAGTAATTTACACAAAAATTATATGAGGCAAATTCTTCTCCAGAGCTTTAAAAAAAAAAACAAAAACTGAGTCATTGTTTTGGTAACACGTCGATCTGCCTCCCTATTAAAAACACGAGGCCTTAGCATGTACATACAACGAGCATGCGAGTCCCGTGCTAAAAGCTCCCTAACTGAGAGGTTGCTACCTCGATCTATTAATCTGAAATGGGGGGGGAGGGGGGGAATTTTATGAGCTAACAGCCTAATAAGTAATAAGTTTAAGCTATAAACTTGGGTCCCAAGACCTTTAGACCTATCCACACAAAGAGCATAAGACACAACGGAATCAAATCACATAATATTATAATTCTTACTATTTAAATAATAACTTAATATCTCAAATCATAAGCACAAATGTCAAGGAATAATCAATGACATTTAAATTGAATTCATATACTAAAATCATATGCTCACAAATATAATGTCACAAACGCAATGCATAAAATTAAAAATGACACAATGCTATGGAGTCCACTGAGGTGTGCTAGCAACACTATACCGAAGCTAATCACAGTACTAACCCTACTACGCAAAGGTCCACTAAATATCCCGAGGGATCCACTAAATACCTGAAGGGTCCACTGAATACCCCAAGCTTTAAACTTAGGTCCACTTACTCCATAACCATAAACACATACGCATGTCAAACAAATTCATAGTATGTCCAAAATAATATTAGGACTTCCTCTTAAAAGAGATCAAAGCATAGTGCGTGAATAGTAATCATAAACAGTAATTGTGAACAGTAATTGTGAACATTAATTGTGAACAGTAATCATGAACAGTAATTCGTAAACAATACAATTTACTTATAATTCCTGCAAGCAAAAATTCACACCCAAATCAAACATAAAAAGGAATAACTCATTGTCTTTCCCATATAAGCCCCAAAATTAAGGATATTTCTAATAAAATTTTAATACCCAAAAATCTTATAAACCAAAGGATTAGAAGCAAATCTCACCAATTTAAACTACCCAAAACTCTAACCCAAAATTCATAACTAAAACTTATACTTACCTAACAAAAGCACCTTAACCTTGGTTGGAGAAAGAAGGAAGAAAAGGATGTAGGTGGAAGAAGAAGGTGTAGGAAAACAAAAATGGGGCTTTTGGGAGCCTTCTG